TTGGATGCCTTCGAGTCATTTCTGACTTATGGAGACGCTAAGGCACTAAAGCTTCTCCTAGGGTTTTCTTGGCAAGATTTGTTCAGGGTGCAATTTATCATTGCTGTTGTGCGCCTTCGAGATGTTTCTAACTTACCGCAGCCCCAAGGCAGAGTTATCCCGGGTTTTTCTTGTGCCGAAGGGGTTACCTTTGCTTTCCTCTGAGGCTGAGAGGGTGAGATTTGTGCAAGATCAGCCATTGGGTTTCCCCAGCTGAGCAGAGATTTGAACCCTGATCTTCTGGAGTCCTAGTCCAACACTCAAACCACTATACCACACTGTGACCAGGGTTCAGATTCCCCACTTGGCCATGGAAAGCCATTGGATGAGGTTGGACAAGTCACACTCTCTCAGCCTCAGGGGAAGGCAATGACAAACCCCTTCTGAACAAATCTTGCCAAGAAAACTCCACGATAGCTCTGCCTTAGAGGTGTCATGAGTCAGAAACAACTTGAAGGTGCACAGCAGCAGCCAACAGCCATGTCTAGTTAGTATGGAACCGGTTGGATCCTTTACTGAACTGGAATTAAAACGAATCAATATCTAAATCTAACCCGAGGTGTAACTGTAGGGCAGGTGGGATTGAGAGCATTGCGGAACGAGAGAGTTCTGCTTCCCAGTGCAATTTTCTTTCAGACAGCCAATTTCTAGCATTGCAGTACCTTAAAACTTCAGTTGAGCATTTAGAAATAGAGTTTAGGCATCCAAAGAAAAGAGGCAGTCGCAGTGACCCAGGGAATGTAGACCCAATACATATAAGTGTGAATGATTTTCAGTGTCTCTGCAATGCTAGAAATGTGGGAACTGAAGGAGAGTGTCATTTGGGGAGCCAGGATTTTAATTTTGGGGCTCATTTCCCCCCCTTCCCCAAGGATTAAGCCTCCTGAGCCTAAGAAATGTTGGAGGGGATATAAGCAAGGTCCTCCATTGCAGAAGAGGAAATACACTTTTGAGCTCACCGGAAAATGCAGAGCGGTCCACTGGTGAAGCTGGAAAAAAGAGATTGGGAGGTAAAGTTTATAAAGTTTGATATTACCCAGTCAGGACTTCTTTGTTGGCAGCTGCCGTTCAAAAGGTATGCCAAAAATCTAGAAATTTATCCTTGAGGTCCTATGGAAAATTGGGATTTAACGGCAGCCTGTGCCCTCGCTCTTTTTGCATGTACTAGCAAATGTAATCTGTCCATTCTAACAGAAAAGTTTTGTGTTCAGTTCTGTAGAACTGGTTTAGGTGTATTTTTGTAGATTCATTCCCGTTCCCATTTTTCCTCTAAGAATCTTAAGTTGGTTCTCCCCTCTTTCATACTCACAGTTGGAAAAGGGAGGGACTGACCCTAAGTCACTCTGTGGGCTGCATCCGCACTGCAGAAATACTCCAGTTTGACACCACTTTAACTGTCATGGCGCAATGCTATGGAATTCTGGGAATAGTAGTTTTGTGAGACATTTATCTGAGAGCTCTGGTGCCACATCAAGCTACAAAATTCTCAAGATTCCATAGCATTGCGCCATGGCAGTTAAAGTGGTGTCAGACTGGATTATTTCTGCAGTGCGGATGCAGCCATGATCTTTATGTCTGTGTGTGGAGGCTGGTACTTAGGTTTCCACAATCATTGCCAAGCACTCCTAAGGATACAGCATGTGTCTCCTCTTCCTCTCCTAATTCGTCTTCCTCCTCCTCTCCTTCCATCTCTTCCGCATATTCTTCTTCATCCTTTCCCCTTGCTTCTTTTTTACCTCTCTCTTCTTCCTGCGACTCTGTTTTCTTCCATTGGCCTTTCCTTTTCTTCTTCCGTTCGTCTTGATCTTTGAATCTTTGAGTTTCAGGGTTTGCATTATTCACCTTGTTCCCTTTCCAATGTCCCTATTATGGTAGAAGTATAGATGCTTTCACAATGGTACAACTCAGAGCGGTGACCCCCAACTATAATGGCCATAAGCATCTGAGTGGTTTATGACCATGCAAGTTCAGAGGTTTGGAAAGAAGTAGTCCAAAAAAGCAGCTGCATGAAATCATAAAATCAATCCCCCTTTGATGCTTGTATTCCCCAGCAACGGTACACAGAGCCCTTATGTCTCCAAACCTTTGAGTTGCATATAGCATGTCATAATTAGAGGCTGCTAGTATTTGGCTACTTAAATTATGTTGCAGAGAGCCAATGCGGTCTAATGGTTTGCGTATTGGGCTAGGATTCTGGGAGACCCAAGGTTTGAATCCTTGCTCAGCCCTGGAAACCTAAAGGCTGACCTTGGGCCAGTCCTCCACTCTCGGTCTCGGAGGAAGGCAATGGCACACTCCCTCTGAACAAACTTTGCAGAGTCGCTGTAAGTTGGAACCGACTTGAGGCGCACACAACAACAACAAAGTTCTGTTGCAGCCGCTCTGCAAGGATTTCTTGCCCACTCTAGTTTTGTTCACCGCAACGTGTCTGGCTGCAAGCCGGCAGCAAGCTTAGAGAACAGGCTTTGATTTATGGTTTTGCATAAAATTCCCCAAACTTTCCAGAGACCAATGCATGGGTGGCCTATTGTTAACTTCCTGGGAGGTATTAAAATAAGCTGGGGAAGAAATGCCCAATGTTATGAAGGGTGGGGTATCTCTGAATAGGGATGTCTTGTGTGTTGCAAGGAGTCTGGGAATGAGGGACAGGGTTGCAATGCATCTCTAGATCCTGTGTGCTGCTGAACCCATCTCACTGCTCTTCATGTGTCAGAGGACGATTCTATATAGGTCAATGTGTCCTATACAAGTATTAGTTTCATGCCACTTTAATTGTCACGGCTTCATCCTAAGGAAGGCTGGGATTTGTAGATCAGTGGAAGAGACTGGGGCTGCAGAATTAGTGCAGTTTAACACCACTTTAACTGTTATGTTCAACGCTGCGACATTCTGGGATTGGTAGTTTTGTGAGAGATCCCAGGTCAGCCATATAAACCCCACTGGGTGATCCTGGACAAGTCCCGCTCTCTCAGCCTTTGAGGGCAGGGATGGCAAACCTGTTTTGAACAAAACGTGCCAAGAAAACCCCATGAGAGGGTCGCCATAAGTTGCAAACAACTTGAAGGCACACGACAACCAACAACAGTTTTCTTTACTCTCCAACGTTTGCAACCATATCAGAAACGCTGCAGCGTGGGTGATCCCGAGATTGATGTTGATCAAACATCAACATCAGTTTGATGTTGGACCCAAACAATGGACCCAAGAGCAAATCAAGTCTTAACTTCCAACCAAAATCTTTGGCATTGGGGTAGTACTGGCTGAATCCTTTCGAATTATGATCTCTCTCTCTCTCTCTCTCTAGCTCTCAATCTGATGCCTCACTAGAAACTTGCCTGTTGCTTTCGGATCAAGGGAAAACAATCCTCTCTAAACAGGGTTTGCCCTGAATCGCATAAAGACAGCCGCCTCTCAGAACAAACTGTTCCTCTTAATTCTGCAGCCTACTTCTCCTTGCCCTGTTTCTCCTTGCTGTTTGATTGAATAGCATTCATGATTGTAGTTTGTCACCAAATCTGAGAAGGCTCAGCAGGCGTCCGTCTTCTTTCTGTGGTTTTAAACTTGAGGAAGGAGCGAGAGCAAAGGGCACTGAAGGAAACCAAACTGAATTGGCATGAAGCTGGGCAGACAGTTGGGATGATCACTCCTCTACAGTCAGAACATTATAACCTCCATCTGTATCAAGGAAAGTACTATGGAGTTTATCACACGGGGGACAATTGGAAGTATAAATGGTGATTAACCCAGGATAATCTCGCAATTGCAGCAAGTCAGGCCAAAGTTACTTTGTTGGTGTAAAAAGTAACAGTCTCTAGCCACTTCCAGAAATTCCTTTCAAATCACATTTCTGTAGGCATTTTCCAAAGCAATGGTCACGTCTTTTGCTATTCTGTTATCACACCTAAGAGGCTGGTGGTTAGGGTTAGGGTTTTTCAGTAACGGAACATAATGGAAAAAATAACTAGCAATGTGACAAGTAATGTAATGTTACTTGCTTTTAACATGTGGGTGAGTAACTGCAATGATTTTAAACACTCTGGTGCCACAATAAACTACAGTTCCCATGATTCCCTAGCACTGAGTCAGGGCAGTTAAAGTGGACTCAATTTGCACTATTTCTGGCAGTCTGCAAAGGCCATAAGTCTCCTCTTTTTCTTTCTCTTTCTGCCTGACCTACCCCATAGGGTGGTTATGAGCATAAAGTGCGGGAGAGTCATACACACCACATTGAGATCATTAGGAGAAAGGCAAGGATATATAAATGAAACTGAGAAGGAAATAAATAAATGGGGCTCATCCATAGTAAGCCAGGATTCCTAGTGTGCAAAAAACATGGCGAGGATTGTTTATGCAGAAGATATCTTAAGGTGGAGCAAGGAATAAGGAACCCACAATAAACTCTGTTTTTCCCACTCTGGCAGCTCATTTACCATTCCAGTCCTTTCCACTGAGTTGAATTCTGTATCTCACATACTTAGGACAAATGTTCAGCTTTAGCTGGCTAACTGACTGCTGTCCTCTGCAGTTGCGGAGGGGGGGATCGTACCAGCCTCCTCTGCCTCCAAGACATTCATCTTCCCCAGTGTTCCTCTTGAGACAGAACTGACAAGACTTCTTGCTTTGCCTGGATGCTGCACATGTGCGTAAACTGGGGGCTGTTTAGTCCCCCGGGAAAATTAGTAGCTGTATGCAACACATAGATATGTACCTCCCTCCCCCAGCCTTGACTCTTCCCTCCTCCACCCCATTCATAGAAGCTTCTGAATCAATGCAAGACTTTATTTTCACTGGAATTAATTGCTTTGAGAGCAATGCCATCTCTGGCTTGAACTTTCTGCTTCTCCAGCCTCTACGAGAAAATGCATTTGCAGGGAGATAGATAGCAGAAGCCAAGATCCAACTGTTTATCTTGGTAGCCAACGCTCGTAGGATGGGAACTTTCTTCTGTTGCAGCCAGCCTTTGGTGGCATCAAAAACCTGCTCTAGAGGTCTTGTAGTGAAAGAGGTTGTAGCATAAACTTTCGTAGACAGATGCAAAGCTTTCCCAATCCAACTAGAGATGCAAGGTATTGAACCTTCTGTATGGGCTCAACCTCTGAGCTACGGCCCTTTGCTTCTGAAGAAGGAGACCAAGTCTACGAAAGCTTATGCTACAACTTCTTTTGCACAGTTAGTCTCAAAGGTGTTACAAGATCCCTTTGCATACTGATATTCCAGACTAACACACTGACTTCTGCTCCAGAGCGTTTCTCGGACTCCTAGAACAGGTATCTAGGATGCATC